TCATTATATGAGAGAGATTTTCTAAGCGTTCCTATAAGAGATTAAGTGTAAACATATATGAATTATAAAAAAAAGTTATTTATCTGAGTTTTATGAGTGTACAAATGACAAAGAGAGAGAGAGAGTAGATAATAGAGAATATATTGTATACTTATGAGAGCTCATTATTGTTTTCAGAACTCCATGATCCATACTTCCTTGTGTTTGGGAACAAATGGTGTTGGGAGACCTCCCACAATAGACTTGTTCTTTGACCTGTGAACCACCACCCATTTTGTTTTTCTTATCATTTAATGTAAAATGGCTTTTGTTACAATTTATGACTCCTGGTAGCAAATTGCTACATCAGTTCAACTCCTATTAATTTGAAGTAATCATTTCGAGAATCTCTAAAGAAAACTAAATCTGACAGAATAACAACAATCTTCCATTGTTTTGCAGGACAATGTCAAACAATTTGATGTCAAGAATGAATGTTGATGGGCAAAACGGCAAGTTTTCTTTTAAGAATACAAGGTTGTATTCAATCATCTCTGGTAAGTTAATTACCAAGTGCAGCATTTTCATCATGACCATAGCAAATAATATATGACAGTAAAGCATCGTCTAATTCATCCTACCGGTAATTCATAGTCTAATTAAATAATCAACTTGCAATTGAGGATTTTCTTTGAAAATGTTTAAGAAAACTTCCATTCTTTCTGTTGAAAATATAAATTGTTTACACTTTTCGTCATATTTTGTATTGATGCTGTTCATATGTTCACATGCCAAGTTACAGCAGTGAAATGAACCTTTCAAGTGATTGATTAAACAAATACTTGAATCATTTAAGACAATATATCTTCCATATAACTTGTTCATGTATATAAATATAAAATTTCAGAATGTGTCCTATCTCAGGGAATGAGATGGGAATGCATCTGAAGCAAATTTCAAGAAAGAGTTAGGAACGTTTCTGAAGTATCCACCTGACCGCCAGGCAGGGAGTGACAGAAAGAAGAGGAGCTGATAATTGTGTTTTTGGAGTTGTAATTGTGTTGAAAAATCTGAACTGTGGTATTGAAATTGGTGGCGTAAATGTCACTTTGATGCTATATGCAGATGATATTGTGTTATTAGCACAACAGAGATCACCTACAGACTATGTCATGTGTGATGTTTTACATTATGCATTAAACCACGTTTTCTGTGTGCGTGTGTGTTCATAAAGATTTCATGAAAAGTGACTTGTTTTATGTGCTGTCTTCATGTATAGTTCCTGGTCATCTTGGATCCCTTTTCATGGTGAAAGTAATTGCATTGTGTTTATTCAGAGGTCTGTCTAAGAGCTGAAATTCAGACAAAATGTCTTCTCGGGACAATTTTCACCTTTTCAAGGGTAACAATACAACAGTAAATAGTTTTTCTTAATTTGGAATACTCTTTTCTTCTTACTGGAATTATACGTCCAACTGACATAAAACTTAAATGAACATTATATTGAATGTGGAATGTTAACCAAGTATTTTATCAGGTAAATATTTTTACTGCAATTTTCTGTTTGAACACTGTTTATTGCAGGTAGCTTTTTGGGTATTTTAGCTGGATGCAGGAGTTTGGTGCTACTTTATTGTAGTTTAAAGATGAAATGCGAGTCTATTTACAGGAAAGCGTAATACCTCCCAGACACAACCACGGAACAACCCATTTTCAACATTAATAATATGTCAGACTTCAACATTGATTCGACGTCGGATATCCTGCTGGGATATAGCTCTCCCCGTTTGTTAAGTACAGTGTTTACTGATGAAAACGAAGATAAATAAATTTTACACAAGTACTAAATTTTTAGTCTCAGTCTCACACATGATTCACTGATAAAATATCCAATGTCAGCAAGAATATGTACGTATACAAACTGCATACATTCGAAAATTATATTTCACAAACAAACATGACACACGCTTGGCTGTAAGCAGTCGCCAAAGCGGCATATACTTATGATTAAGGCTTTAATTACAACAATACCCATTGAACAACTTTTTTGGTTTTTAGCAATATTCCAGCAACATCACGGCGGAGCACCATAAATGCACTTCACACATTGTACCCATGTGGGGAATCGAACCCGGGTCTCCGGGTGACGAGCGAACGCTTTTTCCACTTGGCCAGCCCACCGCGGACGGGACAGTGAAATTCCACAGTACACCCCATTTCAGATGATGGTTGAGGATGAGATTGGCGTGTTTTATCAAGCAGTTTAAAGACTGGATGGATCGAGTGGTTAGTCTTAGTGGATCGGTTGGACAGACTATGTGGATTGGTTGAACAGGTTTGGTGGGTCGGGTGGTTTAGACTTTCTGGATCGGGTGGTCAGACTATGTGGATTGGTTGAACAGGCTTGGTTGATTGCGACTCAACGATCTGGACGGTTGCTCCTAATATTAATCACTATTTTGTCGGACTTGACTCGATTATACACAGGCCCTTGTTTTGCTGGAACATGTATGTACGCGGAGTTAAAAAACAAACTAACAAAACGGAGGGTCGGTACCATGCTCCTATAGTATTGGAGAAAACACGCCGTGGCTACGATGTATATTATATGTCCGCTTCTGTTACAAATTCAAAATACGAGAATTTGACCAGGAAGTCTTTGACGATCGGATGTTCAGTAATTGTCAAACATCCATTTTCCGCTCCACCTATTTACCTTCCTGAACTCATACTAAAAGAGGACGGGGAACTGCTGCAACTGCGGGATTTCAGACCCCTACATAAAACGTCATTGTGACGTTATTCCCTTGGCTGACTAACGTTAGATGACGTTAACACGAAGACATGTTGCTTGTTGTTTTACGCCGCACTCGCAATAGTTCACCTATATAAACAATCTGTAACAGAGCATCCAGTGATTGATATAATGAGCATTGATCTACGCACGTACGATGTGTGTGAAACAAACGATGGTGTGTGCTAGCCAAGTCGGCGAGGCTGACCTGATTCCGTTTGTCGCCTTTCAGTTGAGTGAGTGAGTTTAGTTTTATGCCACTTTTATCAATATTCCAGCAATATCACGGCGGGGGACACCAGAAATGGGCTTCACATGTTGTACCCATGTGGGAATTGAACTCGGGTCTTCGGCGTGATGAGCAAACGGGACCAAGTTTGAGCTTCGAGAGAACCGTACGTTCGACACTTCAAAGTTCGACACAACAGTGTTTGACTGCAGCCAACTGTCGAGTAATATCCCCGTCACTCTAGCCTAAGGTGTCCACGTTTGTTTGTTTGTTGTTTTACACCGCACTCAGCAATATTCCAGCTATATGGCGGCTGTCTGTAGATAATAAAGTCTGGACCAGACAATCCAGTGATTAACAGCATGAGCATCGATCTACGCAATTGGGATACGATGACATGTGCCAACCGAGTCAGCGAGCCTGACCACCCGATCCCGTTAGTCGCCTCTTACGAAAAGCATGGGTTACTGGAGACCAATTCTGACATATCTAACCCATCATAATATCCATCAATAAGTACAATATAGGACCATCAAAAAGAGCGCCAAGACTCACCACCACCTGGTCCTATGTATTCCACTTTAAATGCCCTTCAAAGATTTAATTCTAATCCGGATCTTCACGGGTACATCTGAGGTAAAATCAAGATTGTTCCTTCTTCGAAGATTTCCAAAGCGTCATATGACACTTGCTCAAAACTTGTTTGATCAGTTTTACAACATTCGTAGATTTCAAAATATTTTATGGCTGACATTTTCGCCATTTAATGAAATTCGATGCACGTCCCTATGTACGTGGATTCACAGGGATCATTGTGTTTTCGAGATTGTCCCTGCCTTTACATGTGTTTGTGATCGGGGCAGAATATGCTCAAGCTTGTTTACATAACTAATTGACATTGATTCATAAACACATGCGGAGTCGTACCATGGACGTACAATGGAAAGACTTACTTGTCGCAACATTCCAGCTATATCCCTTGGGTATGCATAAACTCAAATCGAGTGGTCGATATCATGAGCAAACCAAATCGAAACTCTTACTACTCGATACATTTAAACAGTGATTGATTTTATTTCGGTATTATGGCCTCGGGCCGAAGTACAGTTATATAACGAAGGTACTAATTATACTGCACAGTAGGTGAAAATATCAAAAGAACTGACGTGTTCACAAAACAACACAAAACAATATTTTAATCCAGAAGATACCTAAATAAGATATCACAAAAAATAATTGTTCACATTGTCTTAAAAGTGAGCTGATGTTTGTCACTTGCTGTCAATTGAAACCTGAATAATCTGGGTGAGTAAAGTATGGTGTTACGCCGCTTTCATCAATATTCCATCATTATTACGATGAAATCACTAGAAATGAGCTTCTCACTTCGAACCCGGTAGGGAATCGAATCCGGGTCTTTGGCGTGACAAGCGAACGCTTTAACCACAATGCTACCCCACCGCCCCTCAATGTTTTCAGGAGGTGACAGACAAACAGTTGTCCAACATAATTGTTCTTTAGAGATATGATGAATCAAAATCTCTTTGGTATAAGAGGATAATAGAGGATGCTTTAAATACTGTGAACAAGTGACTTAGTCTTCCAAAGTGAGTGAGTGAGTTTAGTTTGAGAGGGGCGTTCACCACAGCTCACTCACCAACTCTAATGTTGCAATGTGAGTGAATGCGTTTAGTTTTACGCCGATTTTAGCAATATTCCAGGAATATGTAGGCGGGGGACACCATATATGGGCTTCACACATTGTACCCATGTGGGGGACCCGGGTCTTCGGGCGTGACAAGCAAACGCTTTAACCACTAGGCTACCCCACCGCCCTAGTCTTCCGTTGACAGACCCTGCCTGGAGATATACAATTTCACGAGCAGGTAACTCAGATGTGGACAAAGAGCCTTCATCGCCTTGCGATTTCTGTCCTCTGGCACCAGATCGATAGCTTTACATCCATCTGAATCCTTTATGTCTCTGTCGGCTCCTTTGTCAAGGGATTCGCTTGAGAAACGTTACATTGTCAAAATAAGCCGCCAAATGAAGAGGTGTCTTCCCTTCGTGATTTCTTTGATTCATTTTGGAAGTTCTATCAATCAAAGTCATCATATTGTCCTCGAAGAGCCTCCACAATCCTGAATCCAATGCCAGATGCAAAGGCGTGTTGCCCTCACTGTTACACAAATCTGCATCAACGTTGGCTTTGAATAAGAACTTCACTACCTCATCGTGATCGGAGTACCGAACGAATACCGCATGTAGATATGTGTCGCCATGCTTGTCCCTGTCCCTTATACTCAGCCCCCTTTCTACCAGGAACTCCACCACCTCTGCATCACCTCTCTGCACTGCTGGATACAGCGCCGTTCTTCCATCCTCGTCTCTTGTATCGATTGGCACCTTCACAGTGTCCACCAGGAACTGCACCTTTTCCATTGTTTCATTGACGAACAGCAAGCGTGAGTGAAGCACTGACCATCCAATAATATCAACTGTCGGCTTAGCATGCATTTGATGCAGATATTTCAGTATGTCCAGCTCCCCAGATTCTGCTGCACGGTGATATGCTGTGACGCCACCATCTCGCTGATCAACATTGCATCCTTTGTTGCATAAAAATTTAAGAACATCAACGCTGCTGAAAAGGGCCACCGTGTGTAGAGCTGATCTCCATCTTCATCTGTTGCATTAATGTCATTTAGCAGCTACCAGCTTCTTAACTATGTCAAGCCTCTCAGCTTCCATTAACGGGGTTCTGGAATCCGGTGTACGTTTGTCTACAAGGGCGCCAGCTTCAAGAAGAGCTGTTACACATTCAACAGAAGCATTTCTCCCAGCAGCTCTGTGAAGAGGCGTTAAGCCCTTACCATCTTCCATGTTGACATCAGATCCTTTCCAGATCAGCATCTTCACAGTGTCGACGTTGCCGTGTTCGGTCAGCTTTAGTCAGAGGAGTATATCCGTATCCTGCTGATCTATTCAGTGTTTCACGGAGCGATGGAACACCCCTATGCTATCACCAAAGTCATCAAGAAAATTCAGCAATAATTGAGTCTTCAGACAGCTGTCTCTAACCGATGCGGCTGCTGAATCGAAACAATCTGCAATGCCTTCATAGATTCCTTCTGTAATGGTAATATGTTCAAGGATGACTCGGACACACTCACTACCGCCATAAACACACGCTGTCTGCAGACAGTCCTTCCAGTGATACCTGTCCGTATCGTCCAGAGAGAGTGTTTATCAAGAGCTATCTTCAGAGCTACTGGATAGGCATGTCCTGCACACCTTGAGGTCAACTGAGCTACTACTCTTCTTCTTGTCCTGGATAGGACTGAACAGTACTTGGAATACCTCCTCAAGGCTCCTCGTCTCTCCTCCATCCATTCTGGATAGTTATAACTCCTTGTTGAATCTCATTTCACCGAACAACCCCATAAGACATCGATAGCAAAGTTCCTGGACTCCGTCCGATCGACGTGTCTATGATTTTCCTGATCAGGCCCACGTTGCCATTTAGAGACGCCAAAAAGCATGTCCTTTCTATCTTGGAAATCCAACGATGAAATCAAATCAAGCAATCGGGCTGATGTAGCTGCATCAACGCTTTGGGAGGCTGAAAGAGCCTTCACACACGTCTCATCCAAAACAATCCCTCTGTCTAGCAGCATGTTAATAATATCATTTTGGCTTTGGTAGTTGGCTTAAATCATTACCTCTCAAAACAGCTATGGAATATTTGAGGTTTTCAACAGAACATATTTTGCCAATGAGCCTTGCTTCATCACCATGTGTGAAAGGAAGAAATGTATACGTGAACACAAATATGAAGATCGAGCATATTACTTATGTCTGGATAGTAAGAGATGCTAGATGCAGTCGCTTCTCTTTTTCCAATGTCTTCACAAACGTCTTGTTCCAATTTTGTCTCCAGATATGGTCGAAAGTCTTCGTCACGTAACGAGGGGTGATTCAGGATCTCACATCCATCGTTTGACAGAAGGATGTTTGTAATTCTGTCAGCAAGGATCTCGAAGTATTCTTTGTCAAGCAAATCACAACACCTCTTCTTCAGTCTCCTTACTTTGTGTCCTCACCAGCTCAACGAGCATTTGTTGCAGGACAAATTTTGATGCACATTTCTGGGTCCCTCACCAGCCAGATCTAAGGAAAACTGCATCGTATTGACTGATGCTGGAATTCAAAACCATTTTGTGTTGCTCAGGAGATAAACACTAGAGAGAGAGTAGCAGCTTTTTTTCGCAATCTGGCCATGCCTGGAGGACCTGGAATGTCACAGAATGTGGACAAATCTGCTTACAACGTCACTGAAGTTTCTATCTGTTCTTGATTTCAAAGAGTTTGTGGTCAAGGAACCCTTTTGAATCATCACCAGTAATAACACAAAGTAGCTCAGTGGCTCACTTTTCCTTCAAACAGTCAAGAATTTCTTTGACACAAACTTGGGGCTGCGGAAGAAGCTGACAGCTCTTGATGCTGGAAGTTTGTTTGATGCAAAAAATGCACAACACTGGGAAAACCAAGAGATGTCTTCATCTCTGCAATTTGTTTCATGTCTTCCTCTGATAGCCTTACCTTTCCTCCCCGAAATATTCCTCCATGATTTTCTGTTTCTCTGAAAACCCTGAGTGGAACTTCCGCCGTCATCCAGAGTGACGCATTTGATCCTTTTTAAACAGTTCGTGTGTCTTTATCCTCTTCTCACACTGTGCACTGATCTCTGGCCTCGAGGTCAACACCAGGAAGATGTTTGCCAAGCTCTACTACAGCGTTCATGATTTTCAGCACCTTACTCCAATCATCACCTGGGATTGAAACAGGTTGGAGGATCCAAATATATCGTCAATTAGCACGACATATTGTCCTTTAGACTTCCCCACTGGAACGTCTTTCCACTGTTGGGAAAAGGACAGTAACATAAGTGTTCTTCCTGTGTTTATTTTTTCAATCGATGATAATAATAATTGAGAGCAAACCCTAGATTTCCTGTACCACTTCTTCCTTTGATGAATACACATCCAGTGTTTTCAGATGCTTCAAAGCTGTCCTTTCTGCATAGGTTGATACATGTTTGTCAGGATCCCTCACGTTTCATCAGCATTTCTGTCACATCTGGAAATAGAATAAAAATATTCTAAGATCGTCCTAAACAGTTTTGTTGTGACCATCTCATCCAGCGAGTTATTTTTGCTGATGGATCAGGCTTAGAAAAGATCCTAACCTTCAAAATGGATGTATTTTTGTTCAGCTTCTGATCTTTTATCTCTCTAAGCACCTTACAGAACCAACTAAACATGTGCGACCGTACATGTGCAGCAACTTGAGGTCCTACAGTCTTTGGTACTGCATCTGATGAGCCGTTAGCAAGCTTGTATCAGCTAGGCGTTGATTGGGATCCCTGGTTCCGCCCCATGATGATACTCGACTGACGTTTATGAAGTGTAGCTGAGCACTTGCATGCAGCAATTTAACAGCCGTGTAAAGCTCCAAGCCACTCAAATATCCAATGAATGATGTTGTGATCTATAATATAGATATATACTTACCTATGATGTTCTGCGTGGGTAGTTTGGCGTAACTGAAACATAATTAAATAAAATAATCTACTGGAGCATTGCGTCACTGTATGTTAAAATATGGTACTTGTTTGGTCCCCTGCCTGGCGCTTCGGCATTAATGGGTACAACAAGGACTGGTCGGTCTTCGGAGTCAGTATAATGTGTCTGAGTGGGGGTATTCATGCTTCACTTCGGCATGGTATCTCCAGTGGGCTAGCAATATAAAACCAGTTTAAGTCTGGGGCTAGTACAAGCAGCCGCATTATGCCATACACTGCATGTCGTCATATGAGCGAATATTTCAACACGACGTTAAACCTTAATTTCACCTCACCTCACATTGCAACATTAGAGTTAGTGAGAAGTAACGCTGGGTTTAACGCCCCTCTCAAGGACATTTATGCAATATCAGGGAAGCCCCCACAGGCATCAGCGAATGCTGTTCTGGCAGGCCGGAGGATCATTATCAACATCCTGTCGGGACGCACCTGAATGGCGTAGCGAAGTAGCAATCCATCAACCATTGAACATTAGGGTTTAGGCTTTCACGTTATAATTTCTATCTGCGATGAACAGAATGATTTACGCTGGACCATAATCCCGAGTTTACACATGTAAAACAAACGTGAATGCGCTCAATGCACCGGTATTCAAAGGATCTGTAACTTGAGATGAGCGCGAGAAAGCGTGGTGAAAAGGGAGAGAACTCTGGCATTCACTTACTGATCGGTCTTGGCTGAACTGTGGACAGACGAGTCTTGGATGTTTGTAAATGGATTTGCCATCAGAGAAGACCGCCGGCGAGAGAGCTGTAGGTTGTTAACTGGAACATCGGGTTATTGAGCATCAAACAGGTAATTGTTTACACTACTCCAGTTGGGAAGCATTTGCGTAAATGCAGTAATCTATACACCTGGACTCATTGTGACGCCATATGGCTGAAATAATGCCGATGCAACGTTAAATAGCAACCCACTCACCACTCACTCACTCTGACTCCCCGTCTCCCCACCATCTCACTAGCCATCGCCCCAGTCCTATCTAACTCCCGGCTCCTTGATTATCTGACTCCTAGTCCGTCTATCGGACGCTCCTCGCGTCAATTCGACCAACTCGCCCCCGCCTATCTGACTCCCATCTCCTTCTGTCTATCTGACGCCCCTCGCTCCTGGTGTGTGTGTGTATCTCGCTCCCGTCCATATCTGGACTCCTTCTGCCCTGTCTATAAGGGACACCTCGCCCTGTCTATCTTGACTCCCTCGTCATCCGCATCTCCCCATCCCGTCTATTCTGACGCCCTCGTCCGTCCCGACTCCAATCGCCCCGACAAACTACTGCTTTCACTCCTGCCTGACAAATGACTCTTCGCTTCCACCACCTGACTCCCCTCGCCCGACAAAATGACTCTCTCGCCCTTCTATCTGACTCCTCTCGTGCCGTCCATCTGACTCCTCGTCCCGACTATCTGACTCCCTCGCTCCTACAAGCTGAGGCTACTCTGCCCTGTCCACCTGCAAACCGAAACATGAGTCTCATTAACCTGTTCAGACAATGACCTACTTTTTCCGCCGATCCAAATTTTCTCTTCTAGTGAAAGTGAAAATAGACATCACGCAAACAACTATGGTTACACTGATCTCCAATTCGTTGTTTCATATATAAAGTGGTATTTACAAAATGAATTTCAATTTTAAACTTTAATAACCTCGTACTTCTATATTTTATGGCGAGAGTGTAAACGCTATGACATTAACTAAAAGACGTCACAGACTGCCCCAGTTCGATGAGGTCGTAAAATAATCCACAATGCATCTGGCCCATTATTGGTTACACCTGTTATGTGTTTCGTGCACCTATTCAGTGTAGTTCTGTATATAATATCAGGTCCGTACAAGATCGCCAAACTTTTCTAGCAGCATGGTTCCCTCGTTTTGAGATCCACGATTTCCAGGCTTCTGTTTGTCAGTGCTCGTTATATCGACAGTGCACGCTGCACTGCATGTTGTTGCAAGGATTATAAAGGCGTTGCGTACTGTATACAAGTGCTAAGAAAGTATCAAATAATCCTGATTAATATTTATGTAACCAGTGAAATGAATTGGTCGCAAAATTTCCAGGACTGTTATTGTACTAAGTTGGTGCAATAGGACGGAACCCAGTCAACAGGAAACGAGACTGTTGTGGAATCAATGTTTTTGACTTTTCGCCCCTCGCTTCGTTCACACAACCCCACCTACCTGACCCACCAGTCTGTCATCCACCTGACTCCTCAGATAATGCTTCTGCTAAGGGCAGGTGACTAACCAGCGGATACCCGGGACAGGTGTGGTAATGAACGTGAACCCAACGTCCTCAATACACGGACCCGTTATGTTCACGTGGCTAATAGATTAAACAACGTAATATGTTATTCTTTCATAGTGAATAAAGGTTATTGTCTTTAGAAGATTTAGACATAATTACAGTCACTTCTTTTGAATATAATACCTGGTTAAGATATTGAAAAACTCTGAAATTTTTAGCCTCGGGCTGAAGAATATATAGCCATTTCTTGTAAATTTGATGTCAGGAATTACCATAATGACTTTGGCAGGGTGGGGCAGGGGTAATGGGGATGGGGGCCGGAATAGAAGATTTGGATCGTCCTAGCCCCAGCTCCTCACCACTAACACGCTGCCTCTACATCCACGAGGGGCAGTGGGGTGGCTTCTGAGTGGTTAAAGCGTTGGTTCGTCGGCGACGAAGACCGAGGTTCGAATCCCCACGTTGGTAAATGTGCCAGCCCATTTCTGGTGTTCCCCGCCTTGA